GGCTGGGTCACGGGTGCGAGACCCGACTCGCAGTCAGACATGCACTGGGGGAACTCACTTGCAACAGTTCTCATTCGCTCAGTGCTATGCGGGAGGAGACTGAGTTTCCAGTTTCCCTCCCACCCCACTTTCATCAGCGGAAATGGCAAGGGGGGGAAACACTTTGTGTCCTTTTCCTCTGGCTCCCGCTACCGTTTCCACTGGTAAAAGTGGGGTGGGGGGGAAACCAGAAGTTCCTCCCCCTCCCACAGCAACACGCGAAGAAGCACTGTTCGAGGTGAGTCAAGGTGATGGGCGACACACCCATGGTCCAGCACGTGTGTTCGGCATATTGTATCGTTTGGCGCTCCAAGGATATGGCTGAGAAAGACCTTTTTCACTGGAGAGCCATAGCTAGTCAGAGAGGGTAATGCACCTATAGAGAAAGAGGAAGAGGAAGAAGAAGAGGAGGAGGAGGAGGAGATTGGATTTATACCCTGCCCTTCACTCGGAGTCTCAGAGCGGCTTACAAACTCCTTTCCCTTCCCCTCCCCACAACAGACACCCTGTGAGGTAGGCGGGGCTGAGAGAGCTCTGAAAGAAACTGCCCTTGGGAGAACTGTAAGAATGGTTGAGCAGTGGAACAGTCTGCCTTGGGAGGTGGTGGATGCTCCTTCGCTGGACGTTTTCAAGCGGAGGCTGGACGACCATCTTTCGGGTATGTTGTGGGGCTGTCTTTCGGCTAGGCTCCTGCAGAGTGCAGGGGGCTGGACTAGATGACCTGCAAGGTCCCTTCCAACTCTAACGTTCTGTGATTCTATTAACAGCTCTGACAGAACTATGGCTTGCCCAAGGTCACCCAGCAGCTGCAAGTGGAGTGGGGTATCAAACCCAGTTCTCCCAGATTAGAGTCCGCGCGCATACCCCCTACACCATCAAGCTGGCTGTAGAAAGACCAATGGCGCAGCTCTCGGCATAAGGCAGCTTCGTCTGTTCTCACCAGCCAAAAACGGATACTCCTTCTCCTCCCCCCCTCTTGCAAGAAGAAACAACCTGCCTCCTTTTTTCCCAATGCCCAGCTGGAGAGAGGCAGGATGTAGCCCACCATCTTCTCCTTCATGCGTGTCTCAGTCCCCCGACGTCGCCGCATTAAAGCCAGTACAGCATGTTCGTGTCGAACAAGGGAACTCTTGTTTCCGCCATGCCAAAGCGATGATGAAAACGCACCCGGAGGAATCCGTAAATAGGAACCAGGAACAGATGTCATTTTAATGACGAAAAGGTGGTGAAGAGAACTTGCAGCGGCGGCGGCGGCAGCCAGCAAATGTCAGCTCTTCCTTCCTTTCCACCTTCTCCTCGCCTGCCCTCCTTTTCTAGCTCCCCAGCATTACAATTCCATTTCCTCCCACCCACCCACCCACTTCTGCACCTGAAAATCCCCTGTGACAAAATCGTGGTTCTCCCTCTTCAGCCTCCCGGTTCACTCCTCCTAGCTCGGTCAGATTGCACAAAAGGCCCAACATTGCAGCTTGAATCGGGGGAGTTCCCGCAGGTCAATCGTGGCCCGGCCATGAACTCCCAGTGTGGACAGTGCCTCAGTTTCCCTGTCTGCAGAATGGGAGTGTCGAGGGCCTCCTTCCCACAGCAGTCGTTGAGAGGGATGAAGTCAACACGCGGGAAACCCAGCACGAAGTACGGCTGATGCGAAATCGCAGACTGAATCCTCCCATAACTACATGTGTCCCTTACAGCTAACTGAGAAGTCCGGGCGATCCGGCCTTGGAGTTATCCCTTAACACTCGATTGTAGGAAGTGGCTTTTGTTCTGCCTGCAGTTTCCTGCCAGTGGGCCACAGCAATACAATCTGGGAGCCGAGCTTGGGCTCTTGGTTCTCTGCCTGAGAAACACGGCAGCCACGAGCACAAACGCTCACCTGAGGAGACAGTTCAACCATTCTTCTTCAAGGCTCAAGGAAACCACATCTCAATAGCCCTTAGAATGAAAGTATCCCAACAGAAGAGGCATATTGTCAACTCAAATTGTAAAATTATTCCTTTAGCTCTTTAAGGATGGATCTGCCAGAACTATTATCTGGATGATGATATTACGCTCATTTTAAAGAGGGAGCACTGAGGATGAAGGGAAAGAATGATTTGCCACAGCCGTACACTGAGTCCCTGGCAAAGGTTGGACCTGAACCCACATCCAGTCGTCACTACAAGGGTTTTCTCAGCTGAGAAAGTATTTAAGACACATTAGCACTCACTGGAGAAGACCCTGATGCTGGGAAAGATTGAAGGTCAAAGAAGACCGGGACGGCAAAGGATGAGATGGTTAGACAGTGTCATCAATGCAACGAACATGAAGTTGAGCAAACTTCAGAGGACGGCAGAAGACCGGAAGGCCTGGCGTGATCTGGTCCATGGGGTCGCGGAGAGTCGGACTCGACTATGCGACTGAACAACAACAAGCTGTTGTAGATTTCCCGGGCTGTCTGGCTGTGGTCTTGGCATTGTAGGACCTGACGTTTCGCCAGCAGCTGTGACTGGCATCCTCAGAGGTATAACACAGAAAAATGGAGGACTCTGAGTCAAGGTGAGAAGAAAAATGGTAGGCAGGTAATTTATATCTACTCAGGAAGGTGGGGTGGGGCTGAGTCATTATCCTGTAGGAGTTCCCCCGGCTATGGACATGCTAATGGAGGAGCTTTCCTGAGGAGGTTCTTTTGCATATGGATTGTTTCCTGAGGAAGTTTCCTGTTTCCTGAGGAGGTTCTTTTGCATGTGGATGTAGCTGTTGAAACTCCTACAAGACAATTACTCAGCCCTACCCCACCTTCCCAAGTAGATATAAATTTCCTGCCTACCATTTTTCTTCTCACCTTGACACAGAGAGTACTCCATCTTTCTGTGTTATACCTCTGAGGAGGCCAGTCACAGCTGCTGGCGAAACGTCAGGTCCTACAATGCCAAGACCACGGCCAGACAGCCCGGAAAATCTAAAGCAGCTAATGAACTCCTGCCATGAAAGCCCTTGACAAAATATTTAAAACACACTCTGCAGTGGCTCAAGTGGTTAAGACGTTGAACTGCAGGCTGTGAAAGGTCAGTAGTTCAGCAGTTCGAGACCCGAGTGTGCCGCATGACGGAGTGAGCTCCCGTCTCTGGTTCCAGCTCCTGCCAACCTAGCAGTTCGAAAGCAAGAAATTGCAAGTATATAAAGAGGTACCACTTCGGTGGGAAGGTAACAGCGTTCCGTGCGCCTTGGTGTTTAGTCATGCCGGCCACATGACCACAGAAATGTCTTCGGACAGCGCTGGCTCTTTGGCTTTGAAACGGAGATGAGCACCGCAACCCTAGAGTCGGACTCGACAGGCTTTCGAGCAAGGGAACCTTGACCTTTACCTGTAGTGGCACTTCTTGCCAAGCAAGCGTGTCTCAAGTGGGTTGGAGGCAGAAGGTGGGTTGCTTATCACAGACATTTTCAGTGGTATCAAAAAGCCCCCTCCTCTGTTTTCCATCTTTTCAGTGATTGTCATAAAAGGGCTCCAGCGTGTTCACCCCCACAAGAAGCATGGTCCTCCCTCTCCGTCAGGGTCAGTGACATCATCACATGGCCAGCTATGATTGGCTACATAGTGCTATGACATCATGCTCGTCACTGTCTGACCCTCCCTGTTCAGAGGCAGTCAAGCTCCGAATCCCAGTGCCAGAAGACAACAACAGGGGAAGGCCTCAGCCTCTATGCCCTGTTGTTGGACCTCCAGAGGAACTGGTCGGCCCCTGTGTGAGACAGGACGCTGGACTAGGTGGACCACTAGTCTGATCCAGCAGGGCTCTTCTCACGTTCTTACGTTCTTATCCCTGATTACTTAGGATCCTAAGTAACGAGGAATCAGATAACAAAGGGCACAATGTCATGGAGGAACACGAGACAGTAATTATGAGGAAAAAATGCAAGAATAACAATGGCACATAAGGAGCAGCACGTTTTAGAAACAACAGCAATAAATAAGACTTGAGAAAAGGTGGACAATGTTCAAATTCGAACATGAAACGGGCGAACATTTGGAATATCCTGTGCAGCCCTAGTCTCAAACTAGTGCAAGCACAATCTTCTAAGTCTTGTGCTTCTTTTCCTGGGACTCAAGGGCTAAGAGGCACTAATAGATACAGATGTCCATAAGATGGTGATACAGAGGGTGCTTCAGAGAACAAGGGGGAAACAGAAGCAACGTTTACTGGACTGAAAACCTGGAGGCATCTGGTTTCAGACTGCCTGTTCCAGAAATATTCTCCCCCCGCAAACAATCAGACAAGATTATTTCGTTTCATCTGAAGTGTTTATTCTATAAACCCCAGATTCAGAGTATGTCTTCATTTTGATCAATAGATACTAGCTCGTTAAACTCAAATTCTTACATTTATACAAGACGGCTGTTAAACCAACTGCACTATTAGTAAACATGTTAAGAGTTTTAATTAGTTAAGTTTTAGACAGATATACTGAATAGAATATGAAGAGCATTATGAATGTTCAGTAGTCGGTATCGTTTGGGATTCTCTGTATCGAATGTTCAATAGTTCAATAGTTTGTATCGTTTGGGATTCTCTGTATCGATTGTTTCATATTTATTTAATCAAAATTATTTAATTTTTTTTTAAAAAGGATCAGTCCTGTCTGCTCAGATGGGCAGCCGCACTCCAGGGTCTCGGGCAGAGCTCTTTCCCATCACTGGGTCCTTTCTAAGTGGAGATGCTGGGGATTGAACTGGGGACTTTCTGCGTGCCAAGTAGATGCTTTACCACTGAGCCACGGCCTCTCCCCTGTCAAGTGCTCCGCTCTGCAGTGGGTCATGCTTAGCTAGTCCATGGGCTGCCTTCCCAATTCTGGCCGCTGGGCTGAGGGCCAGGATGCTTCGGAGCAGACCCGGATCCAGCTTTTGTGTGGCTGCCCATGGCAGCCAGAGACAACCCCCCCCCTCCCCAGTCGCCTGGAAGAGATCGGGAAGATCCGTTTACCTGCTGTGTAGATGCTCCTTGTTCTGAGTCCATCCTTGAAAGCACCTGGCTTTTGGGGGGAATTAAAATTATTCCGAGCCGACGCAGCTTTACCAAATCAGCATTCTGTAAAACGGCACATGAAGTCGGTCAGCCTTGCCCGGAGTCCAGAAGTTTTGGTGGTTGTCTTTGCGGTGAGATCGAGTCGTCCCTTTCGAAAGAGAGAGAGAAATGAAAATGGAAGGGCCTCTGTTGACGATTGCAGAGAGAGTCGGATTAAAAAGCCCGTTCCGCTATTATCAGGGTGAGGAAGTGGTTCTCAAGAGATAGGAAGCAGTGGTGGTCGGCTCTCTCTCTCCATCCACACCAAAGAGGCTGTAGTAAGCATTTCTGCTGTCAGGCACACGTCAGAATTCTTTGGGGCCCAAGCCTCAGCCAACTCTCGGGTGTCTCAAATGTGCCCACCATTCCTAGACTCTAAGTGTGTGGACTCTAATCTGGGAGAACCCGGTTTGATTCCTCACTCCTCCACTTGCACCTGCTGGATGACCTTGGGCAAGCCATAGTTCTGGTCAGAGCTGTTCTCTCAAGGACAGTTCTGGAAAGAGCTCTCTCAGCTCTGCCTACCTCACAGGGTGTCTGTTGTGGGGAGGGCAAGGGAAAGGAATTTGTAAGCCACTCTGAGACTTCGAGTGAAGGGTGGGGTATAAATCCAATCTCCTCCTCCTCCTCCTCCTCCTCCTCCTCCGTGGGATCCAACCCATACTGAGTACACTTTTTATATGCAATTTATACAGCATCTGTACCAGTGAAGAAATGTATTTCTTCTTTGGAGGTTTGAAGTGAGCATTTAAAAGGTTTTTTTTCCCTCTCTGGGCAGAGAACAGGCAAGAAGGGGGAAGTCAGTCCAATTGCTTTTCAGTTTACCTGTATACATATGCTAATAGCTCTAGCAGGAGCGACACTGGGATGGTCAAACTTCCCCCCCCCCCGCCTTTCAAGCAGGGAACAGAGATGTGGAGATGTTAAATGCTAGAGAGGCTTCAAGAAGGACAATTCTGGAGACATCAGGAAAAGCTTCCCTGACCGGGCCTGACCAGGTCAGTGGAAGAGGGAAAGGAGAGGTGATAAAAACTTCTTGCAGCAAGGAGGAGGTCTCTTTTGTGCTGGGTCCATCAGGGAGACAGAGCTCAACTGAGGTCTGAAAGAGGCAGCCACTGACCATGTGGTTGGCCCGGACAGCTGAACGGAGCTTTAAGGTAATGGTAACTCTGTAGAGTTCTAGAACTCCTAAGCTAAAGAGCCTGTCCTATATCTCATAGGACTTGCATAGAGAGAGGGACAGAGGGTTTCTGTTTTACCCATTTCTTTTGGATCCCTTGCTCAATCTGGTGCTGTGCTAAAAGTATACTTGTGAACATTTTCTCTTTAATAAATACTTTATAACTTTTGATGCTGGCAGTGGTTCTCTGTACCACATAGACCTCCACCATCTTGGACACACTATTTTAAAAGGGAGCACCACGGGGAAGGCAGCAAGTTGGCAAGTGGCCATTCCTCCAGGGGCGCAGATTACCAGAGAGAGAAAGGAAAGCCTCTCCAGGTGTTGGGAAAACCTTGGAAGGCAGGGTGGAACAGGGCCTGCAGGCCAGAGCAGGCCCATTCTGCCACAGTACATCTCATGTACGTTATTCTTTCTGATGCATATGCATAAGACATGTGCAATGTATAATACTGGTTTTCTTATGCACAAATAACATCTAAAATGTGTACATGTAATGGGGAAAACAGAAAATGTCACCCAGGTCAAGACCGGAGATCCCCATTGGATAACCACAGCATTTGACGTAAATCACACTACATTCCACGTTGATCTTAAAGGTAAAGGTTTCCCTTCCTCGAAACCCAGTTGAATCTGACTCTAGGGAGTGGTGCTCATCTCTGTTTCCAAGCCGAAGAGCCAGTGCTGTCCGAAGATGTCTCCGTGGTCATGTGGCCGGCATGACTAGACGCCGAGGCGCACAGAACACTGTTACCTTCCTACAGCGGTACCTATTTATCTACTTGCAATTACTTGCTTTCAAACTGCTGGGACCAGAGCTGGGACCAGAGACGGGCGCTCACTCGGTCATGTGGCACTCGGGTCTCGAACTGCCGAACTACTGACCTTCCATCCTGCAGTTCAGCATCTTAATCACTTGAGCCACCGTAGCCCTCTCTAGATTGATCTTAGATTGATACAAAGTCAGTTTGCTGAAAACAACTTCCTGCAGAGGATTCTGGGGTCTCTTCTGGGCCACCGTCTCAGGTCATGGGATCCAGGTTCAAATCCCTCCTCAGCCATTAAACTTTGGGTCAGTCACTGCCCACTGGTTCCCTTCTCTGTGTCCCCCACTGACAGAAGCACAGTTGGGGGGGGGCACCAGAAACAGGACCAGTGCTGTGCTGTGGGTGGGGTCCATTTGGATCCTGCTCAGGGCAACATGCATGGCTCCCATCCATTATAACCCCCACAACAACTCTGTGAGGTAGGTTAGGCTGAGAAAGAGGGACTTACCCAGGGTCACCGAGTATGTTTCCATGGCAGAGTGGGGATTTCAACCGAACGGTCCCATCATTCTCAGCCTATGGACTTCCGTGGACCTATAATGGTGTAACTCTCCTTCGGAAGGCAATGTAAGGGAGCAAGCCTAAGCAGGTCTACTCAGAAGTAAACCCCATGTTATTGAGAGCCAGTTTGGTATCGTGGTTAAGTGCGCGGACTCTAATCTGGGAGAACCGGGTTTGGTTCCCCATTCCTCCCCTTGCAGCTTGGGCAAGCCAGTGTTCTGTCAGAGCTGTTCTCTCAAGAGCAGTCCTTGAAAGAGCTCTCTCAGTTCCAGCTACCTTACAGGGTGTCTGTTGTGGGGAGGGGGAGCATTCCCAAGAAAGTATCCTTAGGCTTCTAGCTATAATCTCCCAGATCTTAAATCGATAGTCAACATGGACTCCCTCGCAGAGAAGTTAGCTAGGCACCAAATCTGCTATCCTTTAGATGCCAGGAAAAAAGAATGTATTTTCGCAAGCTTTTACACTGTTCATTTTTTTCCTTGGGGACATTTTTAACAGTTTGTTCAGTATTTATGCTCCGGGGTTTTTAACTTTCTTTTTTTTTTTTTAGCGTGGGTTGTGATTTTTATCTGATGTTGTTTTAATTGTTCCATCTGCTCCTTTCAAATGTCTTTGGTTTTATGTCGCCGTGCTACCTAAAGATAAGTGTGTGCGTGCTATATATAGTTACGTAACGCGGCATTTTTCTATCATTTTAGCATTTTAGCATTGAAGCAAGCAGCTTCAAATATATATTTTATATAGAGAGAGTGGGGGACAGAACTGTTTCAAAGGAAGTGCCGTGTGGGGGGGGAGAGACCCCCAACGCCCACCATTTTCTGTTCTACAAGGCTGAAGGAATTAGCTCCTTTCTCACTCAGAACCGCAAGGGGTTTATGAGGGTTTCTAGGAAAACAGGAGGAAAACCTCTCTTCTAGAGTATCAAGAAGCAGGAAGCATAGCTGACATCTTTCTAAAAAGTTCCCCCTCCGTTGCGTTTCTCCTTCCTCTTTTTATCTGCATGGTGTGCATATATAGAACTCTGATGTGGGGAAAGGGGATTATGACTACGGTACAGGGAATTTTTTTCCTTCACCCTTTTATTTACTGTCAGCAAAAGTGTATGCACTCAAAGACCCAAAGGAAATCAGCTGAGTTCAGTCTGGAACGTGCACCAGGACGGGAAATGACTCCCTCTAGTACAACAAATTAAAGGGGCAGAATTTTCCAGGCAACTTTTTTGGCCGACCCAGTGAGGCCTTGGGTCCACCTTGCTTGTTCAGCGTTCGGCTGCCACAAGCAAGCTCTGTAGAATGCAGAGACCCCAGAATGAACCTTGGGACACACATTCAGGACCCGATTCTGCCTTGTCAAGGTCGGGGGACAACACAGATCCCATGTCTATCATTCAAGGGGAGAGGAAAACGCCCAACCAAACACTGATGGCAGATGTTCACTGGGCGCGATCGCACGCACAATTAGCCACGCCATGGGTGCAAATGCCGGGCAGATTTAGAGGGCGCGATCGGACACGAACATTTGGGAAGCGTCCCGCACCCGTCGGCAACCATTTTGCTTCGTCGCAGAAGCGGACTTTTTAAAAAAAGCCACCAGGAAAAGTTCGGTAGCAAACGGGTTGCGACGTGCCACGGACGGACTTTCCCCTGCCTGATCGCTGCAGCATGTTCTGATGGCATCGGGATCGTCTGATCAGGCCATCCCGACTCGGTGCCGTTGTTTCCGCCCCCCCTTCTCAGTTTGCGCATCATCGCACACTCCATAGGGAGCCCTCGGCGCTGAGATGCGATTCATCGATTCCCTGCTTAAGCACATCAAAAACAAACGGCAAAAAGCAAACACCCGACTCACCCATGGCTGCATCTGATCACACAGTGGCAGGCTGTCAAAGGACTGTGTGATCGTGCAGCTGCGGGTCAAATTCCGCCGGGGGAAATAGCCTCACTCCCCACCACCACCCGTGTTATCTCGCATGTGTGACCGCCAGCACTGTGTATTTTATGCTGTGTCAATTGGAAGAGGGGGCATAAACGGACTGGTGGGGGGGATCTCGATTGCCCCTCCCCCACGATCTGCTCATTCCATATCACATGGTTGCCAACTCAGGGCTGGGAAATTCCTGGAGATCTTGGCGATGAAGCCGGGGGGGGAGGGGATGCGATGCCGTATTGGAAGTTGCCGGCTCGAAGGTTCAGATCGCTGTTGACCCCTTGGGAATATGATCTCCCTCTCCTGGATGTGGTGGTATCACAGGGAACTGGGGGAGGTACATTTATAACCTTACGCTCCATTTCAAAGACTCAGCCTCCTCAACCCCCAGTCTGTTTTTAAGGAGGACGAAGAAAAGATGAAGAATCCATGTGATAACAGAAGCAAGAACACAGCAATTTACAAAGTACCATGTCCTTCGTCAATGAATAAATGTAGAGGCCTTGAATCGAAAAGGAAAAGACCCATTGCTGGCTGTCCGAATGAAAGAACCAGGTAGAGCAGGGGTCCCCAACCTTTTTCAACCTGCAGACCCCTTTGGAATTCTGCGGCAGGGTGGTGGGCATAACCCCGAAAATGGCTGTCATGCGAGGCATAGGAGAAGAAAAAGAAGAG